GATAGAATGAAAGAAAAGGGGATAATAATGTTTCACCACCAAATAATCACCATCTCTTCTGCCAGAGGTTTCTTCCTGTTAGTAGGGAGCATTTCCTTCCCACTGTTGCCAAAGTGCTTGCTCATAGGGGGTCATATGATTGCTGGGTTTTCTCTGAATCTATTATTGTACGATCTACTGTACAATATAAAGCGCCTTGAAGCGACTGTTGTTGTGATTTGGCTCTATATTATATAAATATAACTGAATCGAATTGAATAGAAAAGCTGTTGTTGTCTTGATTTAGTTTTGTCCTGTAAAGTCTTTGGTAATGTTTGTGTCTGTCTCTGATGTTTTATGCATCAGTAAGCAGTGAGGCTTTTCATATTCTTGCATGTTTGTGCAAGTCAGGTGGTCACAGGATGATGGCAAAACTGCACCACATAATAAAAACTTTACTCCCTAATTATTATTGATTTCATAACCACCATATTATGTTTAGATGCAATTCTAGCAAGAACTGATACCTGAGAGCAACTCTCTGGCCTTCAAGGACCCTCATCTCGTGAGAGTATCTGGTGATGAGTGGAGGCTCGCAGAGAAACTCCTCTTCAGGGATGGACCAAAAGTATCGGCCAGACAGGTGCTGGGGTGTGGCGCACGTCTCCAGGTCATCCTCCCTGTTCAGCCTTCGCAGCCAAAGTAACTCACAGTTGCAGTGGAGAGGGTTGCCACCGAATGACAGTGCAAAAGAAGACAGGTGCATCCCTGACGTTGCTAGAACCTGGGAGTGCAACACAAGTGCATTAAAAAAAATTGAAATTCAGAAGAGCAACATTTTTATAGACAATTCCACTACGTTCGGTCGAGTTTGGTCAGTTGAATGTGTGGTTCCTTGCTCCATCATAAACATAAACTACTTAATAATGCTCCTTTGTATACTTTGGTATACAAAGGAGCATGGTCAACTCAATGATTGCAAGGTGCCCAGGACCTGAGGCTGCAAAACAAGTCCAAATAATGGGCTTTCGATTCTATGCATGACAACTGGTATGAGGTGTTTGTGCAGATAGGCTGTGACTGGTGATCACCAAATGTGGCACTGTGCTTTATGGCCATCAATACTTCTACTCTGGACTCTTCTTTTTATATAAGAAAGGTTTCCTTCTTTCAAATCTTCCAAACAAACCATACTTTTCACTTTCCTTGTATTTGTACTACTGCAATTTTAACATTTAACATGCTAAATAAGGGCTGGATTTTTGCAGTTTGTCTGAGCATTGCATGGTCTGATCTTTTGCTGAGATATTCAGTGTGTTCACTGGTACCAGTGAGCCCAGCAAAATGCACATACTAACAGTTTTTAGAGGTGGTCACACCTCTAAAAACTTTGATTGCATTTGATTTGCAGCTTTTTTACATTACAGTAAAATAAATTGATTTAATAATTGCACTGAAAAATAGATAAACAGCTTTAGCCTGCTGATTCACAACCTGTTTTTATTTTATTTTGCGTGAATTCCCCAAGGACTTAATTGCCTAAATACGGTGGTATTGTGTGGTAGGCTGTGTTTAATGTTTTTGATTCAATGTGGTGGGAAAGAAAATTCTAAGAATACCTGTGCTCGTTGAAAAAGTGGGTCAGGTGGTAGCTTTTGGAGTTTATTAGAGGTGACATCCAGCCGGTTTAGTTTCTGTAAAAGGGAAAAGGTTCCCTCTGGAATGTATTCCAACATGTTGTGGTCTAAACTCAGCGTGTGGAGGCTTATCATTCGCTGGATAAATAACAGAATAAAAGAGACATTTATTATTGTGGTTAATTTTTCATACATTCGATAATGATAAGGGGAACAGAGCAAGGAAACAAAATGTGTGGTGAAAAAAACAACCTCTTTTAAAGTTTTAAAGTTGACTATACTTAGTTACCAAGCATTACAGTACTGACAATACCTACTAACACAGGGGTCAACAACCTTTAACACCCAAAGAGCCATTTGGACCCAGTTTCCACACAAAAGAAAACACTGGGAGCCGCAAATACTTTTTGACATCTAAAATGTACCCAATGCACCCAATTTCCTTTGGGGTCAACCTTCAGGATCAATAAAGTTTTATTGAATTGAATTGAAAAATGAAGATAACACTGTATATATTGTTTTTTACCTTTATGTATGTGTTGCTTATGAAATCCATGAAGTGCTACAGAGAAAATTACATTTTATTTATGTAATTAACACATTTTGAACTCTTAAAGAAATAAAACAAAAGGAAAGACACCCAGCTGAACTAAAACCATCCATGTAGCAAACAAAAACTGTTGGGAGCTGCCAGCCTTATATCGCCTTTGGGCTTTTGGAGCCTTGACCTGACTTTTAAAAAATAATTTGAAAAAAAGCACTATGCTGCTAAAAAAAGGAAAAATAGATATTTGCAAAATTCTGCCTAATATGTATTTTAACTGGTTAATGTGTATGGCGGGGCGTGTAGAAGCGCGGTCTGCAGCGCCGCTGCAGGGGAGGCGGACGCACCTGAGCGGCACCCGCAATCACGCCTCGCCGCCTTTACGTCTGTGCTATCTATGCTGTTGTGTTGGTGTGTGTCGGGCTGTGAGCTGCAAAGCTCCCAGCAACCCTGTGTGAAAAGTTGTCAATAAAGAGATGCTGAAAAGCATGTTCATGCAAACATCGTCGGGTCTGCCGTGATATGTTTACAATGGGACTTCTGGTCTCTGCGCACAGCGTCTGCAAATCGGGGCTTTCATCTTTACGCAGGACTGTAAGCTGTCATCTGTGAGGCGTGAGCTGTGTTTGTTTTTAACATAGTTCACGGTGGAGAACAGCTGCTGACATAATGTGGATCCGAAGATCCATAATTGGCCTACCTGGGGTTGAAAGTCTCGATAAATGCACCCGGAGCCGCACTATAAGGACTAAAGAGCCGCATGTGGCTCCAAGGCCGCAGGTTGCCGACCCCTGTACTAACACATCTTGGCTATCAGTGAAACTGCATATACAGTTATTGACCTGTCAACATAATGACCTCTGCTTAGTCCCAAAGCTCATTTAAGTCTAAAATAAATGCACCCACGTTTTTTAAAGACTTTGCCTCGGGATGCTTTTTTTTTTTTTCAATGCCCTCCAGCCAAACAAGCTTCAAAGTAGTGTTGCATGTTAAAGAGGTTCTAACCTGGATGGCCTCCCATGGAATAGAGTCGAGGTTATTGTAACTAAGATCCAGTTCTTCTAGTGCCAGCAGGTCATTGAATGCTCCCTGGTGAATCATGACCAGTTGGTTGTTGTTCAGAATCAGGTGATGAAGCTTGGACATCCCACTGAATGTATCATTGCCTATCCTCGTCAGTCGGTTGCTGTGGGAGATTGAAGAGAAATAAAACTTCAGAGAAACGTATAAATAAGATTTCATATTGTAAGAAATTATTTTTAGTTCATACCTGTTGAGGTGCAGGGCTCTGAGGTTTTCCAGATCAGCAAAGGCATGAGGTGTGATGTAGGAGATGGTGTTTCTGGATAACGTCAGGTCCACCAAACGTGTCATGTTTGCAAAATCTTTTCTTTTCACACTTTGGGCAAAGACGAGACAAAGATAAAATATCATGAAAATGAGGTAACTGCCATACTAGTGACCCACATTACACTTATAAAATACAGTATAGCGAGAGTGGCATATGTTGGCAAATAACATTAAGTACTGCAGTAATGCAGACGTTCTACCAGTAGAGTTTCAACAGCAACTATCGAAGGGTTTTAATGTAAAGGGTTTAGTCTCATGAGTATCGTTATTATTGATGTGACGATCACCTTGTGACAAAATTGTCAGCCAGTCGTAGCTCCACTGTATGTCTGTCAATGTTGGGTGGGACAAACAGTAGACCTTTCTTGGCACAGAGGGTTGCCAGGTTGGGTGACAGTATTTGACATACGCAGCGTTTTGGGCATATCTGTGCCCGCACAGCCATGGCGACGGCCAGCATTACACACAGTACCAGCCTTTCCATGGTTACCCCCCGTACCTGGAAACAACACCTAAAATAAATGGAAACAAGACAGACCGAGAGAGAGAAATAGAGATGTTAATGACATTTGAAATGAGATGCATGTAACTAAGTGAACTGGTCCCATCAATTGGCCCCAAACTCCTGGTTTGCAGTCACATACACTTGTTACTGCCATCTGGAGGCCATTTGGATCTGTTTGATATTCAGTAGGAAAGAAGGAAAAACTTATGGCAAAAGTAAAATGTTAAAAACAAATGGAACATGACAAAGAAACTGAGATAAAACATGCTTCCCCATTCAAAAGTCTTTTTAAAAGGAGAAGGATGTACTTCCTCAAGCTTCTCTATAATAATACATGATTTATCACCAACTGCACATCCTTTGATATCAACTCAAATAACTGAATGCAAAGATGTATATTAAAAGTCAAGTGTAGGTATGATGATGAGTGCAGTAAGGAGACAAGTGGCCGGGCCTCTAAAAATCATCTGTGGTGGATTTTTAATGTGATTTTCTGTGCAATTAAAGAATAAAGTGATCAGTCATGGTGATCAGAAAAAAAAAACCTTTATAACCAAACAAGAAGAGGGTTTTATTAGTCTCATTTATTGCTCAGCAGTGTCATTGTGCGTGAACATGAGTGAAAAGGCACACATACTCAGTCATCATTAACAAGCCGCAGTGCTTGTAGTTAATTAGAGTGTTAGTGCGAGAGTGCAGGGTGGTCAGGGAGAGAGAGAAAATCCTCATTAATGGCAACCTTGATTTCAGGGTTGAAGGACATGGGAGAATCACCATTAAACAGATCACAGTGCAAACAAGCATGCACACGCAAACATCTACGCATTCACAGAAGAACACAACACACACCTAATGAGGGTGAAACAGAAGTTGAGGATTTGTCTCTGTGAACTTTTCTCACACTTTTTATTTGAACAAAAACGCAGCAAAACAATAGAAACAACTTGTATGCTGCGTGTTTCATAATAGGTTTGTTAAGACGTTTTAAAGTTACAACTGGGAATGCTCACTCTCTTATAAGATAACCTATTATAAAGAACACACCATGGCATATGTATAGGTAAACTGTTTTATTCATGCTACTGCTTAATAAATCAAATCCAAACCAAAAAGGGAAAAACATCCAACAAAACAGATTTTTACACT